CTGGCTCCAGTTAGAATTTTACACTCGTACCTGTTTTCATGCATTATACCGCTCACAAACCACAGGCACAAAGCATGTCTGTAGACCAAAGACCAAAGTCTGATCTCTTGAAAAAGACACAGCAGGCCAGGGAGTCTGCTCTGCGTGCAGTGACACCAGGTTGACATGGTCACTTGTGGCAGCCCTGCCACAGGCCAGAGGGACACCATGACATTTAGAGTCATATTTGGCCTTAGTGGTTATGGTCATCTCTTGCAGCGTCCCGTGATCTGCTGAAGCTGGGGAGTCAGCATTCCTTAAATAACCGTAGCACTGGCACAGGCTGACCAGCGTGAAGAAACACAATCCCCTCCCAGTCTCCATTACTTCCCATACCATCCCCATAGGGGTGGAGGCAGGAGGCAGAGAGCAGCCAAGCACAAGAGCAAAACTGACTTGGTGTAAACTGACCTCCTTAGTGAAGCCTATGGTCTGTCACCACAAGTGCTTAACTGGAGATTGATCTCCGTCTGCACAAAAACCTCAGGCAGATGACTTTTTCTTTCTAATAAATCGATTTACAAACTGGAGGGTAAAAAGAACAGACAAATTCCACTAAGTAAATGCATTTGTTTACCTGGTGAAGCAACCAAAGTGCAAGCTGTGTGGATCGGAGGACCAGCCTATCATCATGCTATGGGTCTCCCTTTCTGTGGTGACGAGGTGAAAAGCTCATCCAACAGAACGGAGGACATCCAGCACATATAAACTCAGTTCAGTGACACGTTTATTGTTGCCTTGTTTACCTGCTCCTGTCATTACGCAGCACGCCACAGCACGTATCCCGTCTGTCATCCATCCATCGGCTTTTATTTTAACAGCTTATTAAAAAAAAAAAGAACTGGATTAAAGTTTCAATCATTAAATGAATCATCACTTTCATTACAGTAACTTATAATTCATTCCGGGGCTTAAAATGTAAATGCAACACAGAGTTGCCAACCACAGGATGAGTGCCACTACTGTGATGTATAAAAATATAAGAGTCATACTCCCAGCTTATAATCAACAATCCATTACCTCACCACCAAGACAAAAGAGGTGACTTGAGCCAACAAAAGGTTTTCACATTCAAATGGGACTACTCATCTCTCACCAGTGTAACACTGCAGTGCCAGCACACTAGATTTATCGTCACTTCATATGCAAGCTCTCCTGGACTGCCCAGGAACGTTCATATCTGATACACGCTTCATATTTTAGTTTAATGATTAAGCTTTTATTTTTGTGGGGTTTCTATTCTGAGTAGTTTTAAAAACAGCTGCAATCATTAAAGAAACAAAGAAAATGAAAACTCGGTAACACTGAATCCAACTCCTGTGCTGTAACAACAGGCATTATTGTCAACTTTTATCTCTACTCTCCATGACCTTCAGCTCGATGACGCTCAAGTAGCCTTACTCATTTCCTTGCTTATGTCACAGCTAGTAAAAAAAGAAAGAGTGAGTCTCTGGGCTGCCAGTCCCGCAGCAGAAGCTCCAGTTCACTCTGTCCTCAGACGTACCAACAGAGGAACCAGCTGACAGTCACGTCTCATACAGGAAGCAGTCAATACACTCAACTATTGCTACTTGATGATGACCGGTGTTGCACAAGGTACTTCGATAAACACAGTAAGAGTCACAGATTGCACACACGCCGACTATCAGACAGCCTAACTGAATCAGCTTCGCATCTGAGACAACATTTAGCGTTGGGTGAGCTTACACTGGAATGATAAAACAAGCCAGTGTGAACTTCTTGTTCTCCTACAGCCGGGCTTTCAGCGTGGCAGAGCAGGTGCCTGGCAGTGTTTACACATGTTCCAGTCAAACAATAGCAGAACTGGAGCAACAGACCAACATTACCAGCTCCGTCTGATTACATTCTTGACCACACCACAACTTTTACATTGAAAGGCGTGTGTCATTCTGTGGCTCTTCCTCTTCCTTTACCGAGTTCCCAGCTCGCCCCTGCTGTTGGGAGCCAGCCAGTGTTTGAATTATGAGGAAGCCGGCGGGGGCTGAGCTCCCCTAAAAGATACCTGAGCCACTCAAGCAATATGAGCTCTGCTTCGGAGTGGTGGTGATAATAATTAGCCCTTAATTTTATTAATAAATGACATTTCAACCCCTACAATATAAGAGAAACTAAGTCTCCACACAGCACAGGAGCTGCTGGTCTAAGTTGGTCTAAACTTTAACAGCAGCACATTGTACACAGCTTGAATTTCTCAGGTGAGCCTGTGTGTTTCTTTTTTCAGAGTGGGATAGATTTCTGTATTTCATGACCTAATGTGAAAAGAGAAAAAAAACAGCGAATAAGAAGCCCAAAGCGCAGAATGATGTCAGTCTGACTTGAACCACATTTCTGTCTGTGTAAACCCAAGTAGATATCTTTTTTTTCAATCTGTGTTTGTGCACACGTCTGTGTTAGCTGAGGGACTGTTTGCTCTGCTCTGCGGTCGCATTGTTCAGCTTTCAATTTCAATATGCTCCTTTTAAATAAACATAGCTTTGAGTATACTGAGGGCACTCCTGTGTGTATACTAACATAAAGTAATGTATACACACATATAATGTAATAAGTCTACACATGCCTGTGCATGATTACCGATGGGTGGTTGAACATCATCAATGATCTGAGACTGGGCTGCAACAAAAGCTGGTAACAGTCACAATAACAGTGCTTAGATACACACGTGCAGTCTTCATGTGTGTCAGATAGCACACTGACTGAGTTGCTGTATATCACTGATAGGTCTGTTTTTAATGCACACAGCTTACTAAACAATAGACCCAATCTAAAGTACCAAATTTGAGATCCTGTCTCCTAAACTGTTGGCCTGCGCTGGGACACTCCCCCAACCAGAAACATTTAAAATGTGACGTGAACGTTTGTGCCAGCTGAGGTGTAAAATGGTGCAGCACAGGCTTATATCACCCTATCGCTCTGAACTTTCCACAAACTAAGCACCCGCTACTATACCATGCAGATATCGGATTACTCCACATCCCTATTCTGGTCAAACTATGAGTAAGGGTTTAACACAGATAACAGGGAAACGGTGATATAGTAAGCAGCTTCGGTGGGTGGTGAGTCAGTACAAGAGCCAATTCTCAATAAAAAAGGTGCTTCTTAACTGTAAAAGTCCACCTTTCCTCCGCACACAGAACTCCTTATTAGGATAGTTTCTTTAATATAAATGTGTATTACTAGCATACTTTAAATTGCACAAGAATATGCTTTGAACACGTCTTTGTGGAACAACGGCGCTAAAGACGTGGCAGCGCTCTACTCCTCCAGGAAAGTCCTGCCAATATTAATTGTGTCGAGCACAAGATGCTTCAGACAATCACACTGAGTACCGTCCTGCCGCTTTATGAAAAACAACAACCTATCCTGAATCACAAGCTCTATGTAGGAAAGGCAGTGGCACAAATCCTTGTGACTGTGTAAGTTTTAGTCAAAATAAGAATCCGATTATGCTCGTCACACTACTTTGTCTAGCATGCTTCATGATGAAGTCGAAATTCAGCAAATATGACAACTTAAACAAATGATTATCATCGCAAAAACAATGTGCAGTCACGTGAGAATGGTCGTCATCTCTAACAGAACAAAAAGGTCCGTTAAAACAAATCTTTCCCAATGGAACTACAATTAAAATATCAATACAAAATAGAATATAAAAACGCACATTGACGATTTCTTCTGTGTCACACATTGATTTATTGAGTTCCTACAGTAGTTCCCCCTCATGACCTATGACAATTTTATTGTTTGGTTTATCAGCTGCAGTCCTCCTGCACGCAGACACTGAAGCTGGAGATAAGGCCCTTTCCTCCCTGTCCTGAGTGCCAGCTTTTCCCTGTCAAATATTTATAGAAGCTGAAACATTAGATGGCCATCATCAGACTTAAAGCTCTCTACGCAAGAAGAGCAGGCAACCAGCAGAGCCACTTCAGAGATCAGACCTCCAATCCCAACTCTTATGTTATTAAAGAAAAAGGCTGCTGACGATACAGGATGTGTTGGATCTACCGTTTTAATAACTTTGACGCACTTTTAACGCCATCAAGTGAACATGAGCCTTTGGTGGCAGTCAGTGGAGAGAGGGGGTTGGGAAAGGAGATGGCCATCTTTCGCATGAATACTGGGTACTTTTCCAAATTATTCACCATGCTGTCATTAGATACTCAACCGAGGCAACGCTTTCCTTGAGTTAACAACTGAAGGAGAGAAAAAATAAATAAATCAAAGTCATCGAGAAGTCAGGGCTTATATTTCCAAACGGTGGCTGTTATGTGTGGGCAGCTGCTGGCTAGTTTAGCTAGCAAGGATTGGCCAGATTTTTTTTTTGTTGTTTTTTTTGTGTGTTTTTTTTTGACAGCTTAACAAACTTTCTGGAAACATCTGTATACACAAACAGAAGCTACTCCACGTTGTTTTCAATTAAAATAATTCTTACACTTTACTATAAAACACTCTGTGAAGGCAAGTTAGCAACAAAAAAACCGAGTTAAAAAAAAACACAGTTCACTCCAAACTAAAAACTACCTCAATAATAATAATAATAATAATAATAATACGATGAAACAACTACAAGGGCTCAGTAACCAGCAGCAGGGGGCAGCGAGCCTGATAAATGCCCGAGTGCGGTGCTCAACAGTCGGTGTGGACACTGAGTGAGTCTGGGTGTAGCTACGAGACGGTGAACTGCTAACGCTCAACAGCAGCGACCAACGGCCGGTTCGAGAGCCGTTGGCCGCACTTAACGTACGAAGCCAGAAACTAACCGGGCTTCACGCAGCCCGTCGTGGCCGAGCCTCAGCGTGAAGGCAGCGGCAGACCAGAGTGGAGGCACTGACCTCACTCTGCCTGTCACAGCCGCCCGGACACACTTCAAACACACACACACACACACACACACACACACACACACACACAAAAAACGTCAGTACCGACAACGGACCGTTTACCTTGCCGCTCTGATAGCCTTCAAACGCTCTCAGCGCGCTGTCAGTGAGTTTAACGTGGAAGACGGAGACATTGCTGCCGTTGCTCACTCTTCCACAGGACAGTCCGTAGCACTGCTCCTCCTTCAGCGCCGCCATCTTGCTACCGTTCCCACCACGCGCACGGACGCACTCTGTCGTCAACCGAGAACTCCCGTTGCTTTTCACTGAATATTCAATGAGCGCTCACTGCCGGGGAAGTCACAGGGCAGCGGCGGCGAGCCCCTATATAGGCACACACGTGTAGTTTAATGCAATTATATTTGCACTACGGCAACGCATGGCGCTCGGTAGAGTAGATTTAGTACGTTATAGTTGTGTTGTCGGTGCTGTTAAACTACTAAATTACTCAATTTAAAACTAATCCGGAGACGAGAGGTTGATTCGGATAATTCGTGTTTTTTTTTTTTTTTTAAATACTACTGTTTTATTTTGTAATTATATGTTATAGTTATTAATAGTGGACAAAATTCAATATTCCTCGCAGTATTTAAGAATGAGGATTGCACAGCAGCAATGCGTAGGAAGGGGGAAACGATAGGTCATCTGATTACGTCAGCAAAACGTCAATGTCTGGAAAAAAAAGAAAAACCCAGTTTGGGAATATCCAGAACATTTGGGAATGTCTAGCTGTAGACAAAACACGGGAAATGTAAATATTGAATATTTTAACACGGCAGTTTTGTTATAGGAGGACTGTTTTCATACAGTTTAGTATAAATATGACCATTAATTTAATGGAAGATGTGTCTGTCTAGTACACACGTCACTGATATTTCTCAATCTTAGTTTTAAAAAATGCTATAATCACCAGGAATACATGAAACTGGACCAGAAGTGGACATAGTTCACAGAATATCTTGTCAATGATGCCCGTCAGATACACAGGTAGAAACTGCGATACCATACAAAAAAGAAACTGCAGCTTGATAACAGACAAATTTTATTGTGATGAATATAAAATTAACAAATGCAGGGAATGCCAAGAACTCTACGATCACTTTGTCACCTTCTGTTAAGAGTTTATGCAACTTTTGGCTCTGTAGGACTACCATCTAATCTGAAGAAGCCACAGATTTAGTCATGTCACATTAACTGCGCGTGAGAAAGCAATGATCAATAACAGTGGAATAAATAAACACTCAAAGGAACGTAATCAAAGGAAAAATGTCACAGGCAATAAATGTAAGGGAGGAAAAAAAATACATACACACCCAACATTGTATTTGAAGGGTCATCCTTCAACATTTGGTCTTGATCATTAAAAATTGAGGTATAATTGACTGAAACTGATTAATACAAATAATTTCTCCTTCAGCATTCATACCCACATCACTGAGAAACTCTCTGTACCATGTTTCCTTGTTTCAGAAGGTAACGACTGCACCTTTAGTCACAAGAAGTATGTGTTTGAACAAATGTTGAAAATAAAGTACAGTAAATCTACTTCAGTTGATGTTTTACTGTATGTATGCACAAGTGAGCAGGAAACCACCCTGAACTGCAATCAAATACAGTCATGTATATTTATAAGCCACCTTTGTGAAATATTATTTTTGTTTGTTGTTGTTGACACTGTGTCAGATAGGCGCTATTTGAGGCTGCAGTTTGCTGTATTTTATTTAACTGCATTACGTTGTGAGGTGTCTCTTCCATATATGTTAATGAAGTGGATACAATTTTAGGAACACGCTTCAGTATAACATCACAACAAACTCCAGCCTCAATACATAACCAACTAAAGTAAAAGCTGACGGTTTTATTGAATTACATTGTACAGGTGTTTCTATTTGTCTGGTCACTTAGTGCATAAGTAGAGTCTGTAGAAAGGGTGTGAGAGCTAGCACACAAGCTAGCTACATTGCCATCGTGTGAGCCTCAAATAATAATGTGCATTACACCAGTGAACATGAAACATCATACTGCAATTAAAAACAGTGAAATCACATATTCTTTTTTGGATAGGAAATATTATTTAACCTGCACAATCTGACGCTTTAAAACTATAGCATAACATAGGACCATATCACAATAGCTATTTTAATGGGAAAAATATTCTTAAATAGCCTCTATCTGAATCTATTTTTATTTTATTTTTCATAAACTTCCAACATTACCTACCAAAGACACAAACAATGGCAGCAAAGGAAAATCGTGTCTGGTAGCGTGACAAATATGCATAAACCTACACATTTATAAGGTTGGAAATACAGTTCCCATATGCCAATATTGATGTTTTATTATTTGTCACATATAGTTCTCAAACATAGCAGAGAAAGGAGAGTGACAGTGAAGAGGCAACTGACCGACTGACATTTTCACCCCCTTTGACCAAAGGTCAGAAGGCACTGCCAGACGTGCCTCTGTGTTTAGGCTCTCACATCGCAGTGGCTTGGTCAGGCTTGGTTCAATTTCTTGCAGCTATGACGACGGATAATGCTACACCGCCAATGGCTACCGCAGTGGCACCGAACAGCCATTTCCAGCTGAGACCCTGGGGAATTAAAAGGAACAACAGTGATGTTAAGTAGGTTGAATAATATTGTGACACAGCTCAAAGCGAAATATTTCATCTCACTTCAAGATTTGATATATAACTGACACTCTGTTTATTACCACACCTTGACAATTACATACACATCATTCCAAAATAACTAATGAAAGTGTGTGAGCATCATGATGGACAGAGGTTCAAGCTGTATTCTAACCCAACATTTCAAAAACCTGAACACTTTTGTTTCTAAGGGAATGACAGTCTCACCCATGAAGACTTGGCCCGGTGTTTCTGTGTGTTGCCGCTGCTACTAGTGGGGTTACCCAGCATCTTCTTATACATGGCCTGCTCTGCTCCTCTCTGCTCCGAGTTCTTCTTCACCAGCTTGGAGAGCTCTGCGTGGATAGTCTATACAGAAGAGACAAGACAAATAGTTGCTGCAGGCTCCAGTTCAACAACCAAACCCCTCTATCTACTCTACCACACCAGCAATCCCAACGTGAGGGAAACAAAGTGATGGTACTGTATAACAACCCAAGACTGATTTCCTTGTTAATGGGAATATGTCAGGATGACAATACCCTTACCCCTTACATACACACACACACACACACGCAGGAAAACATGTTTATGCCATTCTTTGTTGTCTTATAAGACAGGCTTGCATCACAAAATTAGCCTGCCATTCAGCCCACGTCCACACAATTCCAGGATATGGGTTCAGTTATTCCTCCAGCACGGCCTCAGATCTGAGTCACTTTACTGCTCTTAAAACTGGCGAGTGACTAAGCAAACCAATGCCTTCAGAGACAACTAAAATGTTTATGCTTTGTAAATACACTTCAGAAAGAGTGATGAGAACCATTACACAGAGTTCAAAGCAATGTTCGCTTAATAGTAATTTTACATTGTTCTACCTTTAAATACATTTGTGGGAAGTGGGAAGTGGACAGTGGAGTGTCTGTACAAGTCTCAACCTTGAGGATTTGTTTGATCCTACCTAATGCTAAGAGTAAACAGATACATTTACAGCACAGTGTTTGAGCAGGGCACCCTCGGTAAGTTGGCACCACTATTGTGCAATCAGCTCGCCACCGAAATGACAAAAATGACACTGACTCGTCCCCAGGGCAAGGATAAAGTAGCTAAACAAACATGTAACATCCTGTCCTACCAACATCTGTGTGTCCAAATACTGTGCTGAAAACAGTCGGAGGCGGTCTAAACTGGAATTGAAAAGTCTGTGTGTCATGATAGAAAAACCAGACAAATAAATCTCCTCATCCATGCAAGTTGACGATAAAAGGGCGTGTATAGCTGACACCAGTGTAAAAAACTGTAGACAGCATGTCTGTCAGTGCCTAGAGAATAGAGCATAAGCACGTCATCCTGTCACTCCATGACGCCTGCGCCTGTTTAAGACCGCCTCGTTGATTACAATGGCAGTGTCCTTATATTGTCACTGAAGCACACCCACTGTTCTTGTTGTTAGAACATGTTATTTAAGGAGTCTTTTCATTAGTGTAGCTCTAAGAGGCACATCCATTTTATATTTTTATTTATATTTTAATAGAGAGAGGGACAGGAAAGGCAGGGGAGAGAGGGATACAGTAGAGGGCTGGATTCAAACCTTGATATGTTGTATATGCTCAACCAGGTGAGCTCAGATTAACTGCTATTCTCACACCAGTTTAAAAAAAAAAAAAAACGTGTTGACAGATCATTGCAAACTTACAAACAGTGGACAGAAATGTATTGTAACGACTAATACCTGGTTCGTTTTTGTACCACCTCGAGTTGAACTGATACTAAAAGCTGAAAATGAAAACACTGCAGACCACAGATTGGTCACGCAACATAGGACATCCTGCACAAACCTCGCACTTTAAATAGCCACATGAAAGTATGAAAGCGAGTGATGCAGAGGAAAGGGTGAGGTGTGAAGTAGCAGTTAACGTACAGCATATGTTAAAGTTTGTCGGTGAAGAAAGGCTGCAGCAGACCAACATAAAAAATAAAGAAACATACTAACCAAAGTACTATCTACAGTGGACAACGAAGTAGGGGTAGCAAAAGCGTGTCGAGCTGTGCCATGTAGTGGAAATATGGCTTTTGTGACAGACCCATTAAAACAGAAACCCACCTAAGATGTAAAATTGCAAAATGTAATGTAAATGTTGGATGAAAAGCTTAAGTGGAGACCAGGCCATGTGCTATTTGACAGATTGGTTTAGGACTCAAGTGGGGGATTCTGGGCATGAGTACCATGCTGCTGCAGCTCACAGCTGATCCAAGAAGCCCACGCACTGAGCGGAGTTCTGTCAAATGGCCTTGTGTAGCCAAAGAACCACATATACCCGACTGTATAAGCAGGAGAACAGTAACAGTGGCGAGGTATTAGATATGGCTGGGGTGCAGGGCAAATCTATTTACAGCAACAACATGAAAACAGATCCTCTGAAATGATGAATCAGCAGCCCACCTGACCTTGCACTACCAACTAAGTGAGTTGATATTTTACCCTATAGCACCATCTACTGGCTATAAGCAAGAACTGAAATTTCTCTTTACTAAAGGCTGTGTTGTACCAAAAATAAATGTGAAGACGCCAAAAGTACCTTGTTGCTTGGTTCCAACTTCAGCGCCTTCCTCAAAGTTTGAATGGCTTCTGTGTATTCACCTTGTAAGGCTAGTACCTTGAGTGAAAACAAATAATTAATAAAACAATCTATCACTGACTGACAGAGAAAGTGAAAGAACAGCAGTGATGTGTACCTTGCCCATGCGGAAAAGTGCTTTTATGTTGTCTGGCTGGTGTTCCAGTGCAGAGACACAAGATTTAAGAGCTGCATCGTAGTGGTCCAGTTTCAGCTGAGAAGCAGCCATGTTGTTTAAACACTTCACTTTTACATCCATAAGCTCATTCTCCTCCTCAGGACTAATGTCAACTGCAGCAAAATAAACCACAACATAAACAAAAACTTTAAAACCAGTTTAAAAAAAAAAAAAGTTTAAAAAAAAAAAGAATCTTAAAATCAAATGAAATTACAAAAATGTCCATCAGTGCATCATTAAAATGTTAAATGTAGTCCCTGCATATCACTATCTAAGGTGGGCCACATTCAAGTTTTTGTAACCATTTAACATGACATGTTGAGGAAAAAGTCCCTCTTGTTTTGGGGTAAATCTAATACTTCCCCACCTTTCAGACACCCCTAAGCCCATTGCCCAATGACAGAAAACCACCAACGGTAAAACAACAACCTTTCACTGAGTCCTGGCTCTCTGGGCTGCATCTCACCTTTAGAACTAGACTCTGTTATCTGCAGGGCAATGCTATATGAGTTGACAGCAAAAGCGTAGTCCCCACGCTGATAATGAACGTTGCCTCTCTCTCTCTTGTGGCTGGCCAGGGCAATCTTTTCTGCAGGGGCCAACAGCTCCAGGTCTGGGGCATCAGTAACTTCCAGCAGTTCCACTTCTAGGGACAGCTCAGCATTGGAGGGGACCTCAGGTTCAATACTGGAAAGATGAAGAAAAACATTCAAGTTCAGGAAATAAGACACATCAAGCACAAGTTTACACACAAGGAATGTTGACCGTCAAATGTGCGTCACAGAAGGGTTCTGTACATCCAAGAATAACATTTATTTTTTATAAAGCTTGGTTAAAACTCTGCAGTTTATACAGCCTTTAGCAGTTAGACTGAAACACATCCCTACCTCCCCCGGACACCGTATGCGTAAAGGGCACCAGTCTGAATGAGGGCTTTCTCTCTCATTTCCATGAGCTGCACTGTGAGATCCAGAGCCTGAAAGGAGAACAATCCCATTTTAGTAACATACCGATATGTGCGTGTAACACTACAGCATAACCTGATTGACCCAATTATGCATAACCTGATTGTGAAAATCTTTCTATATAGTCTAATCCATCTGAAATTGTTCATTTTTACCTGAATGACATCTCCATCTCCAAGAGTGAAAGAGAGGTCAGTCTGCTCCTCTACAAGTGTCCCGTCCTTCAGGTACGTTTTAAGATTAATCTTTACGTTTTGTCCTTTCTGTGGTCGACTGTCTCGCCCTTCCCCTGCCTCCAGGACTTTTTTCTTCAGCTGGTCATTACCTGTACACAAAGATGTATTATTATTATATTAGTTTCAGTCAGTTACAGCACTGATCCGCGTCCAGTGACTGTGGAGCATCCACCACCACCACCACAAGCCTTGCTCCTGGGAATCAACAACACCTTGGCTTTGGATTTCATCATCTTCCTATCATCAATATCATCAATATCCACTTATATATAATATATAACTACTGCAACACGTTCTACAGGAATGTATTTGGCTACAACATCATATGTTAACATGATGATTTTGTTACAAACCTAAAACATCCAGCCATTCCTCCACTGGACCCAGAGGGTCTGGATCTGTATTCTTCTTCTCAGATTCATCTGTGTTTTTGCCCTTCCCACCCCCGGCATCTTCGAGAGGAGGGGGGTCGTCGTCAATGTCATCTTCGTCTAAAACCTCAAAGTCCTCCCCGCTGTCCAGCAACGAGGTACGTCCATTCTTCTTCGCTGGTGGCACACTGTCGTCAGAGGCGTCCATCGTCTCCTCTTGTTCAGACATTAGTAGAGTAGTCTGGAAGTTAAGCTTAACAACTTCAAAACAAAATGCAAAGTCATTGACTTCTCTAACCGTTCGACCC